AAATATGTTGCACTAATATAGCTATTGCTTCGACCGTGTCGGTATACCCCACACAGTTTCCATAATGTATTACTATCTATGAATGTTTCCCAAATCCGGGTGTAGGATTTCAAGCCCAAACAAGAGAATCAAAATGTAAAGCAATCAAAGCAAGCAATTAGTCATGCAAAAGGTGATATAAGCCCTAAGGTTACTCCATTTTTAGAGATTTCCCCAGCAGAGTCGCCAGTTCTGTGATACGGTGGGAGAACTGACTTGAGGTTTTGCGTTTGTGTTTGCAAATGTTTTGGTTTAGCAAGAGTCGCCACCGACTTTTTATTTTATCCTAAGGAAAGGTCAAAAAGCACAGGAAAGACCTTTGAGATGTTTTCTTGGGTTCGGGGAGTAGATTATAGAAAGGGAAGGTATTAGCACCCTTTCTATCCATGGTTATCCATGGGCTCTTAGTTACTTGCTTAGATCACTTGCTTTGCATTTTCAATTGTTTGAAATGGTGCTTTGTGTGTGGTTTTGAAAGATATTTTGAAAAGAGGCCATTTGTGGCAACCTTTGTAATGATTCTTGTTTGAATGTATACAAAGGTGTATTGTCTTTTGAAAAAAAGTTTTCAATGTTTTTTTTGAAAGTTGTTTTGAAATTGTGTTGTGAGGTGTGTTTTTGAAAAGTAGCAAGGATGTTTGTTTGCAAGTTTGATCAAGTAACTAATAGTTGTCTACCCTATTTTACTCAAAGATCTTTTCTTATGTTTTTAACCCTTTTAACAGTGTTACTTCACCATTGTATTTGGTGAACAACCTTGTGTTAGGATGTAAACGGGACATGCGCGGGTCATCGTATAGACCATGAAAGCAATAGTGTCAAGTATTTTGGCAATTTTCTTGAGGGACTATGATCATTTTGTTTAGGCAACTCCGATAGCGTCATCGTGGGACTATGATCATTTTGTTTGTTTTTGTTTTGTTTTTCCAAAATACTTGACATGCAAACATGGCCCATTTTTGAAGGCAACAAGTGGATGTAACCCTAGGGGTGATTGTGTGCAAGTGTTTTTTATTGCATACAAGAGTTTATCTTTGAATTAGGATTTTCTATTTCATTGATTTTATCTTGCCATACACATCCTAATTACTAGCATTTTATATTTGAAAGCAATAAAAAGCAGAAATATAAAATCCTACGCTATTACAACAATTAGGGGGTGGGGATACATATTTGTACATGGGGTGTTTCAATGAGAAAAATAGATAAGAAAAGAAAATAACAAAGGCAAGATAGAGAGAAAGAGAGAGAGAGAGCCAGCGCGCTGCTGAGAGGCCATCAGAAGTTATGACTCAGGCCTGCTTCCAGATTATCAACCTTTTGGTTAAACTGTATGAGTCAGAACTTCTGACTCTGGCACCTGCAAAACAGAAACCTGTTAGTGGGAAGATCAGAAGTTCTAACCCCCATACGCTGCAAGACAAAAGTTTGTTAGTGGGGATATCAGAAGTTCTGATCCTGCTGGAGATACAATAATCTTCAGAAGTTCTGATATTATTGACAGCAGAACAGACTTCAGATGTGCTAACGTCAAAGTCAGCACTTGGCTTCTCCCTGTGCTAGTCAGAACATTTGCAGTTTTGTTATTGTTCCACAAAACAGAAAACATGTTTGGGGCAGCTTCAGCAACTGTCAAAGCGTTTCAGGAGACAGAACCAACAAGGTCACAGGCAGGTTCTACACTGATTTACTTCCTACTCAAACATTCTGAGGTATGAAAATCCTCAGAACGCAAACAGCAGTAACATGATATTTACATTATGTTTATTTGAGCATGCAAAGCTGATGATGCTTAGCAGCGTGATGAAGGTCAGCAGGTGCTTACCTGGCTGTTGGAAAAGTTTGTGAGTGAGAGCTAGCTTTTAGCTCTGATGGTGTTCTGAACAAGTTCTTTTTTGAAGGGGTGGATGGAGAGTATATGTGGTCAGAAGCTGTAGGGGCGTATTTCTTTAATCAAGAAGCAATCTGGGTACAAATGAGGTTTTGAGACAGGAGATTCAAAGTTATGTTTGAGGCTCTTGAGACACCAAGATTTTTTTGACAGAGTTTCAAAGTATTTTCTTGCTAAAAATTTCTGTTTCTCTTCTAGCAATTTTTCTGGTTTTTTCTGGGCCGCTTCTTAGTGGTCAATGGTGCTCTATTTATAGGCAAAGCTCTTGTGGATTCTTGAACGTTAAAGGCGCCAATAGAGGTTAAATTGTTTTTTTTTAAAGAAGTTCATGGAAAGTTGTGATAATGTACAGCTTTTCAGCCTAGGCTAGAACAGCAGGCAAGGATTGAGGAGAAGTGACCTCTATAGGTGGAAGGTGGCGCGTAGACCCATGCCTAAGCCTGCAGAAAGGTGTTTACCAAGCCACACGTGAAGAGACCTCTTGGATGAATGTTCAGGAGTGGTTGGGAGCATTAATTAGCATTAAATGGTGATGATACTTATCAACACCAAAATTCTTGTAATAGGAGAAAACCTGAACCATCAGTTTTGTTTTACCAAAAACAACATGAACCAAGCTCTGATCTTGGCCTCTTGCTGTCTCAGCAAATTCTGGGGATTCTCCTGACTTTCTAACACGTTCCTTGGATTTGCTTCTGGAAATCCTGGACTTAGAGATTCTGTGTCAGTGTAACACCCACTCTTCTGACCCTTTCATCTTCTGATTCCAGCCTGTTCTGAAGGAGCCTTCAGACTTCTTTGCTTCCTTTGCATTCCTCTAGCAAACTCTGGCTGAACTTGCGTAACTGCTGAAAGAGCCATGTTCTGTTTGAGGCTTATGTGTTGAACCACGTTTGCAACCTCTAACTGAGTTAATGTAGCTGCCGAAGAGCCAACTTCTGACTGCGTTGAGCCAAGCTTGCAACTTCTGACCGTTTCTGTCTGGAGGTTGGTCCAGAAGTTCTGAAGTGCTATTTTCTTCTTAAACACCCATTTTTTAGAGAAAAATTCCAAATGTTTAGAATTTAATTTTTCAAGGTAAAAGCGTTGCCTTTAGAGCTTGTGTGATCATTTTGCTCTTGTAAATGGTTTGCTTGGGAAGAAATGATAATTCAGGACTTGGATTTGCTTCAGAGAGACTCTGAGAATCCATGATGATTTCCTGAAGAATGAGAGGGCAAATTTTGGGGTACAACAGTCGCCCTAGAGGTACGTGTGTCAATAGTGTTTTTATTTCAGTTAATTTATATTGGATTTATAGTTATCTTGCGTTTTGCTTTAGATCTTGACATAAATCATATTAAACTAGCAGTAATAAGGAAAGTAGTAAATTGCAGAAAAATAAAGTTCTACGCTATTACAAGGCTTCGGGAATGGGGGTACAAATAATAAAAACGGGAAAAAAAAATAAAAGCCTAATTAAACTATTACAAATCGTAATTAGTTACAATAATCAAAAAATGAGAAAATAGTAAACTACGCGAAAATAAAAGGAAAAGGAAATTGTTTTGTGATTTTATCAAGTAAGGAAATTAAATCAAATAAAAGCTATAAACGAAGATTCAAGAATTAAAATTCTAAATGATATTTTTGGTATTTTTGTTTGTGAGAAAACTTGAAAAGAAAAAAAAAACCTATTCTATTATTTTTTGGAATTTTTATCATGTTAAGAAAATTAAATCAAAATCAAATAAAACCTATAGATGAAAATTCAAGCATTAAAATTCTAAATACTATCTTTGGGATTTTTTTTATGAAAAGGAATTAGAAGTTAAAAAGAAATGAAATCTTAATTCTAATATTTTCGGAATTTTTGTTTATCATGAAGAAAATAAAACAATTAGAAGAAATCAACTAAACAATAATAAAAATAGAATAAAATATTAACTAACAAAATTGATTTATTTACAAAAATTTTAAACTAATTTTTAAAACTAAGAAATATGTAAACAAAATTATAGTATTACTAAATGAAATCTAAAATCTAAAACTAAACTAAGAAAATTACAAGAATTAAAAAAGGAGGTATAAATAGAAAATATGGGGATGAGATATCATTATCGTAGGGCTGGGTTTGCTGGGTAAAGGCCCAATAACAAAACAAAGCAAAAACAGAAAAAACAATAAAAAAAACTGAAGGGTGTACACAGGAAATTCATTGGGTTTATGGATGAAAGAAAACGGACTAGCCCATGGTTACACAAACAAAAATCAGCTAGACTAAAATAAATAAATAGATAAATATTGGACTGGCCCATGGTCACACAATACAAGTCCAAACCATTAAATAATTATTTAAGTTAAAACTCTTTTTATTTGATAAAACTAATTCATAATTTAATTAATAACATCAAACAAAAATTATTTTAAAGCAAATAATCATTTAAAACATTATTGATTTTTTTCTTCATTTTTATCATATACCAAAGAAATGAAAAAAAATGAGAAAAGGGTCAGAAATAGCCTGGTTGAAGCAATCTAAGGGTGTAGTTAAAAGAAATCCATCCAGGCCCGAGTAAAAGGGAAGCCCAAATTGCTGGAGAACTACTGGATCTAGCGTGACTGATTTGTGAGGATGCATCATGGAATTCGCCTTTGGGAGCATTGGATGGCGAGGTTGACAATCAGATGATTATCTAGTGGTGAGGAGCATCTGAGCGCACAGTAAAAGAATGGAGACACACACATACAAAACATAACTTTATCCCCATCTTCTCCGATGGGGACAAGTGGCACAAGAGACACACTTGTCACCCATCGATGACTCCACAATCTAATGTTATCATAAAATTATCATTAAGAAAACTTAATAAAAAAAATTAACAGGCCAAACCAAGAGCCCAAAACACTGCATGTTAAAACCTAGATTAATAATAAAACTTAAAAAAAACTAAACTATGTTAAGCTTCATTATTCTTCTATGCTATCTCTCTCTCTCTCTCTTGATTCTCTCGCTTCTCTTTCTTATAATCAAACAAAAACACTTCAAAACCCAGAATATCAACAGAAATAAGATCTATACAATGGTCTTATGAGACCAAGCAGTGGTGGTCATAAAGATGACGGCAGAGACGAAGAAAACAGTGGCGACAACCTTGAAGATCCACAGCGATGCCGCCGCTCAACGTCAGATTTAAATTTTTTATATTTTTTGGAATCGCCTTTTCATTATGAATCTCAATTTCTAACTCTTTTGCATAAAACACGGGATAATCAAGCAGATCTACAAGATTCACATGAAAAAATGGATGATGTCTAGAGTAAAAAGGAAAGGGTAAAGAAAAATGGCGTTCTGTATACGTTTATTATCAACCTTTGAACAAAATTGGGAAGGAAATAGCGACAGAGGGCGATTCTTCATCGACAGTCTCAGCAACAAAAAAGTCCTCTTCTTTCTTCTTCTCTTAGATTCGTGATTTATGAAGGGTTTATGAATTAGGGAAAGTGATGAACAGTTTTAGGGTTGATTCTTTTTGTTTGCGGTTGTATATGAACAGTTATCACTTTTCTATGTGTGGATACTCATTTTTATAGTGAATAAAGACTATGTTTTAGGGGGGGAGATGGATAACATTTGAACAATTTGAGTGCACTTTTTTACTACTTTTTATTGTAGATTCTATTTTTGTTATTTGTATGCAACATTTGGACTGATTTGAGGACTGGTTTTGGCTTATTATCTCAGGTTTTAGACATGCATGAATAGTAGGGATTTTGTAGACTGTTCTACCACTTTTTATTGAAGATTTTGCTTTGGCTATTTTGTGTAATGTTGTAACAACTTTATGCAGGTTTTGGAGTGGAGTGGACATCAATGTAACATCAAGTTTTGGCTTGAAGATTGATGAAGTTTGAAGCTTTAAAGTTAGGATTATCATGAATAATGAAAAGGATTTGAAACTTGAAAATGATTATATGGCTTTAGGACTTAGGATCACGGCTTTAGAACTTAGGTATTCTCATGTGATTCTCTTGCATTGTTGGAGTTAGCCATGCAAAAACTCATATAATCTTCTTGTAATGAATTCAATGTACAAGACCAACTTTTCCCAATAGCATTTTTCTTCTTTGTAATGATATTGATGAAATAATGATGTAGTATGGAATTGTTTAAAACTTCAAACGAAACTTTGATTAATGTGAATCTTGCTTAATGTTGTCACTTTTATATTGAATGAATCCTTATAAGCTTGAATGTATATTTGAATGAACTTGCTCTTGAATTCATGATAAACTTGAAAAGTGAATGAGCTATTATTTGAAAACCATGGATGGATCTTGAATCTTGTTTATCCTTTTGATTCTATAAGAATTTGTACTCAAAACAAACTTGTATGCCATGCTCTAAATAACCTTAATTCATGTTTGAATTCAAAGAATAACTTTCATCATTTAGGAACAACGTCACGCCGTGATTGATTGGAGACACCATCTTTAAATCATGATGTCCAAAACCCTAGTCTCCTCACTTGATAGGTGCAAATATAAGATGCAACTTCAACCATAGGTCACAAGATATCATATATTTTTGAGTTCAAACCCTTGAGAAATAAATCCTTATGACATGTCTCGTAATGCAAACAATTAGTGGAAGATCTCAAGTTAACTCAAACCCCACTTATGAAGAAAGGGTTCCCTGATGATAGAGTGACAAAACCCTAAAACTGTCTCAGCCGAAACATCTTTGGTGAAACCCTCAAAACCCTAGCTTCAAAATCCAATTCTCAGAAGAAACAAAGAATCAACCTTTATTTGATAAATAAAGCCCAGAGCAAAGTGAAACCCTAATTCGTACCAACACTGCTTCTTGATCTCATGCCTTATTGAATGAATGAATTTTATGCAAATGACCTAGTGAAAATGATGCATATAAGAGGAAAAGCCTAAGACAAATAAAAGTAGAATTAGGAGGGCAAATTTTGGGGTGCAAGCTGCCCCTGTTCAATCTTCTTAAACCTGAAGAGTTAGATTGGCATGTTCGCCATTCGTGACTTGAAGGTAGAAGATGATTGAACACTTAAGTGCCCAGAAATTTTCACTCGCCGGGGCAGGAGGTAATGCGGTTTGTTGATAATATTGCTTGAATGAGCTTAAAGATTCCATTTGGAAAGATGACAAAAATGTCGTCGAAGATGGGCTTATAGATGCCATCCAAAGTAATTGTTGATAGAAGTATCAGAATGAGTCTACGCTCGACTGTATCTGAAGAATTCTTTCCATAATGAACCTCTTGGAAAGGTGTTTGAGTAGCTACTTGTCATGTAGATAGTCGCTCTATCCTGTTTCGGGAATTGATCTACAATCTACTTTGTTGGTAAACCCGTCCTGTTTCGGGAATTCACACCGTTGGTGATAAAGATAGTCGCCCCGTCCTATTTCGGGAGTTAATCTTTGATCTATTTTTTGTTGGTAAACCCACCCTGTTTCGGGAGTTCATACCATTTGGTGATAAAGATAGTCGCCCCGACCTGTTTTGGGAATTGATCTTTATCTGCTTTTTTTGTTGGTAAACCCGTCCTACTTCGGGAGTTCATATCATTTGGTGATAAAGATAGTGGCCCCGTCCTATTTCGGGAATTGATCTTTATTTGACCATAAAAAGGAAGATAATTTCCCCGTCCTGTTTCAGGAGTTAATCTTCGCTCAGTTCATGTAGATAGTCGCCCCGTCCTGTTTCGGGAATTGATCTACAATCAGTTTTCACAGATAGTTGCCTTGTCTTGTTTAAGGAATTAATCTGTGTCTGGTCAAACAGATAGTTGCCCTGTCTTGTTTTAGAAATTAATTTGTGACCTGTTTGAAAATTGTTGATGATATTCGTTTGTTTGTAGTCTTTACCTAAAAAGATAAAGAGTTAGTTGTATGCAATGTCATGATGTATGAAATGCATTGCGTAATGATGTTCTCAAAGTAAATGAGAGTGTGCTATATGAATTTTGTATGCATATGCCATGATGTTTGTAAGTGATGTATAAATGTGAAATGTCGTTGAAGCGTATTTAATAGCTTTGTATAACATCTCGCTGGGGAAAAATGATCCCTGACTGGTGCTGGGGATGAAGAAGATATGTAATCTTCAATCCTTGTTTAGAAAGTTTCTGTTGGGGATTCTTGCTTCCTGTTTGAGGAAGCTCTACTGGGGAATGTTGACTTCTGTTTGGGGAGAAGAGTTCAGGAACATCGGTAGTTCGTCGCTCTACTGGGGAATTTAATTCTTATATACCCTGACTGGGGATAAAAGAGATGGATAACTTTTCGAGGTGCTGTTTGATCGAGTTTCTGATATGGATGCCGACTCTTCTAGGGAGGATAAGGTTAAGCGATATTTGGTCTGGTTCCAGATTCAGTAGTAACACTCTAGGGATAATCGTTTAGACAGCTCTTTGCTGGAGATGGAAATCTTGTCGATATTTAGAAAAATAGACTCAGACTGGGGAGACTGAACTATGCTAGGGAAATAAACCCTGTTGGGGAAATAAACCCTAAACTTGATAGAGAAATATTCTGCTGAAGAAATACTCTTGCTGAGGAAATGAGCTCTACTGGAGAAAAGAAACCTGCATGGGTTTTTTACAGTCTCAGAGGAATAAACTCGGCTGGGGAAGAGAATTTCCATAAACTAGACAAATGCCATAATCTCTGATGGAGACTAGAATTCCTTTAGATTGGCGACATTGGCGGGAAAAGGATTATATTCCTTTATCCGCTATGGTGACTTGCTGGTGAGTATGATTAGGTAAATTCAGCCTCACCAAGAATGTATCTTTGTTGAAAATGAGTTTGTGAAGATGACTCTATGGGGATAATCTTATGAGGATCTTTCTATGGGGATACATGGATGACTTGAACATTATCCCGACTCCTAGAGTCTTGAGAAAATGCTTATTCCTGTTTTTATGAACATATTTGTTTAACAGTTAATCTTATCCATATGCATATGTTCATTCAATTTTAGTCATTGGACGTTTTTTGCAAACAAAACTAAAAAGGTAAAACAAAAAGTTTGAATTTTGAAATTTGCATTTCCGTTGATAGTTTGCCCATAAATAGGTGATTTTGTACAAAGAGACATAAATTCTAGTAAGAGGAAATCATTGTGAAATAAAGAGAGTACAAAGTGAAAGCAAAATAATAGTTATGTGGTAATAATCTCATCGGGTTCCAACTCCGCTATTGACCCTATGTCTTCAAGCATCTCATCCCTTGCTGTCGGAAGAGGTTAACTGAATTGATCTATACCGTTTCAACTTGATGTTGGTAATAAAGCTTATTGTAAGTGATCCAATGAGACATAGTCGTACACTTTAATCCCTAATTTTTGTCTGGACCGCCCTTTTGGGTTTTTAGTCCACCAGGATACCTTTTTTTTCCCAAGCCTCCTTTTCAGGTTTTTGACTTTCCCGATGTATAATTTTTTGTATATATCCCTAATTTTTGCCCGAACCCTTTTGGTTCACCGGGATGCCCTTATTTTTTCCTAGGCTAGTTAACCTAGCGGGTCGTTTTCATACGTAGTATCTTTTGACTATGTCTGTGTTACAGGGCGTGGAAAATCTTCACTGTCCATGGTGGTAAGTACCATAGTGCCACCCGACAATATCTTCTTAATTACAAATTGCGCTTCATAGGTGAGAGTCTATTTTCCCCTGGGATTACCTTGTGGTAGAATGATGCGCTTTATTACCAAGTCACCAACCTGATATACTCGATGCTTGATCTTATTATTGAAGTCTTTGATTATACGCCTCTAATATATCTGACCGTGACAAATAGCCGCAAGCCTTTTCACGTCAATCAAATTCAATTGATCCAACCTAGTTTAAATCCACTCGTCTTCGTCCAAATCTGCATCCTTCATGATTTTCAGAGAAGGAATCTGAACTTCGACATGTAGAACAGCTTCCATAGCACTGACCAGAGAGAACAGGGTTGTCCCAATTGGAGTTCGTGCTGAAGTGCGACATTCATGAAGAGAAAATGGTAATATCTCGTGCTAGTCTTTGTAGGTTACAACCATCTTCTGTATAATCTTCTTAATATTTTTTTGGTGGCTTCCACTTTTGGTGCTTGATCTTGAACTGCATGCAGAGTTCAGTGATCATAGTTTTGTTGAGATTAGTACCATTGGCTGTAATAATTCTCTCAGGGATTCCATACTGACAGATAAGGTTATGCTTGATGAATCGGGCCACGACATTCTTGGTAACAGAGGCGAACAAAGCTGCTTCAACCCACTTTGTAAAGTAATCGATGGTGATGAGGATAAAGCGATGTCCGTTAGAGGAAATGGGTTTGATCTCTCCAATCATGTCAATGCCCCACATTGCGAACAACCAAGGAGCAGTTAAAACGTTCAGAGGTACTGGAGGCATATGTACTTTATCAACATAGATTTGGCATTTGTGACATGTTCTAGAGTGGTGATGGTAATCAGTTTCCATAGTTGACCAATAGTAACCCGCTCTCAAGATTTTCTTAGCCATAGTATGTCCACTGGAATAAGTACCGAAGATACCTTCATGCATATCTTCCATAATATTTTCTGATTCTTTTTTGTCCATACAACGAAGTAGAGCCGAATCATGATTGTGCTTGTATAAAATTCTATTGCTTAGGAAGAACTTAGCTGAGAACCTCCGTAGGAATTTCTTATCATTGATAGATGCCCCTTCAGGGTGCTCTTGAGCTTCAAGGTATCTTTTCACTTCATGAAACCAAGGCTTTATTTCTAATCCGTCAGTGTCAATTTCATAGCAGTGTGTCGGTTCGTCTAATCTTTCGATGGTAATTCTGGGAGCCTCATTGTCCCATCTTACCTTGAACATGGATGACATGGTCGCTAATGCATCCGCCAACTAATTCTCTTCTCTTGGGATGT